CAGAAAAAGGGAAGCCATTTGAGGAGAAAATGATGGAGTAGCCAACCTGTGTCTCATGGCTCTTGAAAAAGAAGAATTCACTCAAGATGATGTAATTTCTAATTATGTAGAACTTGAAAGTGCTTTCAATGAATTACATGACATATTTAGAAATGTTTGTGTTGAGAATTCTAAATTAAAAAAATTAGTTACTTCTCTTTCAAATGATGTGGATGTTTTAAAAATGAAAAATGCTACTTTGAAAAATGACTTTACGTCTATTGCCAATGAGAAAAACATTTTGAAAAACAATGTTGAGGATTTAAACAAAACTCGTGAAAATTTTGTAAAAGGAAAAAAAAAACCTTAACAAGCTTCTTGGAAATAAAAAATGTGTTTTTGACAAAGTAGGCATTGGTTTTGATCTTCCTAAACCTTTTATGAGATTAAATGTTCTTGAGACTAATCCCTATGGACCCTAGAAAGTATGGGTACCAAGAAAGAAATCGAGATATTTTGTAGGTGGAATATCAAAGAACACCAAGGACTTCGAGAGGAAATGCACAACAAGAACCCGGCCCGTTGACAATGTGAATATTCACATTGACATGTTAACATTCACATTAATAGGAGTGTAAAATTGGCCCGCGTCCCGTGGCGGCCCGAAACCCACCGGCGGCCCTTTGACAATGTGAATATTCACATTGACATGTTAACATTCACATTGATAAAAGTATAAAATTGGCCCGCAGCCCATGGGCGGCCAAAAGCCCCTCCCCCGCGGCCCGGGGCGAGTCCGACTAGGCCCGTTGACAATGTGAATATTCACATTGACATGTTAACATTCACATTGATAGGAGTGTAAAATTAGCTTGCGCCCCGTGGCTGCCCGAAACCTGCCCACCGCCTGTGGGCGGCCCGGGGCAGGCCCGGCCCAGCCTGTTAACAGTGTGAATATTCACATTGACATGTTAACATTAACATTGATAGGAGTGTAAAATTTGCCCGCTGCCCGAAGCTTGCCCGCGGCCCGGGGTAGACCCGGCCCGGCCCGTTGACAATGTAAATATTCACATTGACATGTTAACATGCACATTGATAGGAATGTAGAATTGGCCAGCGGCTCATGGGTTGCCCGAAGCCTGCCCACGGCCCGGGGCAGGCTCGTTTGGGTCCGGGCCCGAGCCGGTGGGTCGAGCCTCGGGTCGGGCCGATGGGCCTGGGCCTAGCCTCAGGCTTGGGTCGGGCTTGGGCGGGCCTGGCCATTTCTTTTTAATTATTTTTAATTTTTTCTACAAAAATTTTATTATTTTCCACAAAAAAAGACACTAGGCCTCGGCGCAGGCCGGGCCTCGGACCGAGCCTTGAATGGGCCTTAACCAGGCTGATGGGTCGGGTCGGGCTTCAAAGTGATGACCCAGGCCCTAGCCTAGGGTCTCGGACTAGGCTCGAGCCCGGGCCTAAACGAGCCTTTCCCGAGCTGCAGGCGGGCTTCGGGCAGCCTACGTTCTTTTTGACTATTCCATTAAGTCCTATTTGAGGTAAGAAGACCAAAATATCATTTTTATCTACTTATATTCTATTTAGTCCATATTATTTTCTTATGCTTTAATAAGTCCTATGGGAGACATAATTACCAAAATACCCATAATGTGAATGTTCATATCATCAATGCGTAGAGGCCCGGGCCGGCCCATATCGAGCCTCGTGGGTGTCCGAAAAAATCCGGGCTGGCCCGGCGTGGCCCACGGTCTAAATAATTAGGCCCAAGCCCTAGCCCTGGCACAAGGGTATTCGGGCTTTGGACGGGCCGATGGATCGAGCCTCGGGTTGGGCCGGTGGGCCTGGGCCTAGCCTCGAGCTTAGGTCGGGCTTGGGCGGGCCTGGCCATTTTTTTTTAATTCTTTTTAATTTTTTTGATCAAAATTTTATTATTTTCCACAAAAAAAGACATTGCGCCTCGGGCGGGCTGGGCCTCGGATCGAGCCTTGAATGGGCCTTAAGCGGGCTGATGGGTCGGGCCAGGCTTCAAAGTGATGGCCTAGGCCCTAGCCTAGGGTCTCGGACATGCTCGGGCTCGAACCCAAACGAGCCTACGCCGGGCCGTGGGCTAGCTTCGGGCAGCCCACAGGCCACGGTCCAATTCTACATTCCTATCAATGTGCATGTTAACATGTCAATGTGAATATTCACATTGTCAACGGGCCGGGCTGGGCCCACCCCGGGCCGCGGGACAAGCTTTGGGCAGCGAGTAAATTTTACACTCCTTTCAATGTTAATGTTAACATGTCAATGTGAATATTCATATTGTCACGGGTCGGGCCAAGCCAGCCTCGGGCTTCGGGCCGCCCACGGGCTGCGGGCCAATTTTACACTCTTATTAATGTGAATGTTAACATGTCAATGCGAATATTCACTTTGTCAACAGGCCGGATCGGGCCTGTCCTGGGCCGCTAGCCAATTTTATACTTTTATCAATGTAAATGTTAACATGTCAATGTGAATATTCACATTGTCAACAGGCCGGGCCGGGCCGGGCCCGCCCCAGGCCGCCCACGGGCCGTAGGTAGGTTTCGGGCAGTCACGAGGCGCGGGCTAATTTTACACTCCTGTTAATGTGAATGTTAACATGTTAATGTGAATATTCACATTGTCAACGGGCCCGGTCGGGTCGGGCCCGCCCCCGGGCTGTGGGCGGCTTTTGGCCGTCCATGGGCCGCGGGCCAAATTGTACTCTTATCAATGTGAATGTTAACATGTCAATGTGAATATTCACATTGTCAACGGGCCAGACCGGGCCCGCCCCGGGCCGCCGATGGACCATGGGCGGGTTTCGCGCCGCCACGGGACCCGGGCCAATTTTACACTCCTATTAATGTAAATGTTGACATGTCAATGTGAATATTCACATTGTCAACAGGCCGGGCTCGCCCTGACCCGACACGACTCGAATTTTTCCGGGCACCCACGAGGATCGACATGGACCGGGCCCCTACACATTGACGATGTGAACATTCACATTAGGGGTATTTTGGTAATTATGTCACTCATAGGACTTATTGAAACATAAGAAAATAATGTGAACTAAATGGAACATAAGTAGATGAAAATAATATTTTGGTCTTCTTATCTCAAATAAAACCTAATAGAATAGTAAAAAAGAATATGAGTTGGATAAAATAAAGCTTTTAAAAAATAAATTTATCAAAAAAAACTCCCTTGTTTAAATACTATTATTAATTACTATTAGGCTATCTAAGCTAGCTAGCTTTTTGCCAGCCAATTTTGCACTGTTAGCCCTCATGGGGCACACATTATTTTAATTAGACTGTACAGCACAAGCCTGTGCATTTTCATGTACATGCTAACTATTTTAATGTGAAGTTGACATGTCAATGTGAATATTCACATTGTCAATAGGTCGGGCCCATTCCGACCCGACACGACTTAAATTTTTTCGGGCACCTACGAGGATCGACAAGGACCGGGCCCCTACACATTGACGATGTGAACATTCACATTAGGGGTATTTTGGTAATTATGTCACTCATAGGACTTATTGAAACATAAGAAAATAATGTGAACTAAATGGAACATAAGTAGATGAAAATGATATTTTGGTCTTCTTATCTCAAATAAAACCTAATAAAATAGTAAAAAAGAATATGAGTTGGATAAAATAAAACTTTTAAAAAATAAATTTATCAAAAAAAACTCTCTTGTTTAAATACTATTATTAATTACTATTAAGCTATCTAAGCTAGCTAGCTTTTTGCCAGCCAATTTTGCACTGTTAGCCCTCATGGGGCACACATTATTTTAATTAGACTGTACAGCACAAGCCTGTGCATTTTCATGTACATGCTCACTATTTTAATAAAGAAAATTATTAAAATTGTGAAAATTACTAAGATTCCCATTTGTCCACGAGGCAAAGGAGTTACACGTAACTTCTCTATGATTTTTATTTAAAATCATGTTTTGTATAGTAGAGATTTAATCTTTGTACCTAATAATTAAATTTCACCATGTAACATATCACTCTAGGATCACTTATGTTACCAAGATGCAACTAAGATCAGCTAATTTGAATTTTTTTTTCCATCCTCTTTGTTTTATAGATGAAATAAAAATCTCAATTTCATTTATTAAGATTATAATAAATCATCAAAATTCAAAATCAATGTTTAATAATGAGTAATGTTATATATTATTTTATTTTATTTTTTATCTTATTTTTCACTCATAGACATAGGATAATGAGACTCACATTAATAAATCTACATTGAACTTGTCCACTCTTATCTAAAGATAAGAAATGACATTTTATATCTAGTATTTTTCGTTTTTACTTACCATGTAACTATAAGTTTTATAATTTTGCCTTCATTACATCTATGAAATAAAAATCATTTCAATCTAACCAGCCCATAATTTCAAAAGAAAAACAATACAAAACCATAACTTTTTTAAAAGAGTGTCTGAAATTAAAATATTGAGTGAGATCTACACCATATGCAGTGTCGTCACATCGATGGACCAAACTAGGAAGGCAAGTAAGGCGAGTGATTTGACTGACGAAACCTTGAATTTTAGATTCAGCTCCAAGTTCCTGAAGAAGACAGACCTCATGTGCTGGTTTTAAACAAATTACTGCTACACACACACTCTGATCTGATGAGAAATAGATATATACTATTAGTTTAGCAGCAGACACAATGCTTGTGGGTTGAAACTTGACTCAGATTTAAGCACAGTTACCCATAACTGATATATAGTGAATCTACAGAGGCATTTTGATTTGACCAACACCAGTTGGGGGAGGCTTTGTCTTCAAAAACTCTCTATATAGAGCAATGGTAGAGGGCCCAAATTCTGTGGCTCAAATGTGGCTCAAATGGCCAAAACGACGTCGTTTTGAGTACAAAACAACATCAAAATGGCCAAAACGACGTCGTTTTGACCATTTGAGCCACATTTGAGCCACAGAATTAGGGCTCCCAAACATTTTTCCTCTATATATACCCAACACCTTCACGTTTGCTTCAACCTTCATCACCAAGTAAAAGCTTTTCACTCCTTGGCTTCTTTTGTTACTTCTTTCCATACATTTAATGGGTCTGAAACCTATGCTCTTTTTGCTAGCCTTCCTTCTTCTAGTCACCACAAGGGTGTGTCTTATCTCTCTGCTCTCTTATTCACAGTTCCAAAAAGAAAAAGAAAAAAAAGAAGAGCAAATTAGTCCATCTAGTTGTAATTATAATAGTTTTACTTCTTAATTTTAGATTATGTTAATTTAGTTCAATTGTTAGCATTTTGCTAAGAAATTGGACAGAAATCATGGGCGAAATAGTACATTCAAAAGGAAATGCATCATTTCAAATTGAACACCAACTATGCAATCACTTGGAAAGAGTTAATGTACTGTTTTGTCAATTGATTTTTAAGTTTAGTTTCAATGGAATGTTATCAATTTTAAATCAAACAAATATCATCATGCTAGATGAATTCTTCTTTTTTCACTTGTTTCATGAGGAGTTTCTAACTTCTGTTAATCATATTTTGCCTTCGTAGGTTTCATCCAACGATGAGGAGTTCTTGACAGAGGTAATTTTATAAATATGTTTTGGCTCCTCTTTACTTCTATATATGACCTCATAAATTAATTACAAGTTGGTCTATGCTCCCCACCATATGATAGCTTGATCTATGATTAAGGGGGCTGCTGATTCTGGCCTCCTATGTTTAAGGACTATATCCCTCTTTAATTTGATTTTGTTTGGGGATTAAGTTATGGGATTAGATTATATATCTGGGCCAATCTTAAATGTCACGTTTCGATACAAAAATGGATAGTATATCCCTTGGAAAACTATTGCGTCCCATAGGGGTGAGATATAAAATATAGGGATAAAGAGGAATTTGAAACAAACATAAGATATGGTAGGATTAATTTAGGGCATTCTAAAAGTGAGATAAGATAGATAATCTAAGAGATTAACAATTTAGTATCAAATTATATATCTTTGTTTTGCCTACTTATGCCATAGTTGCATGCAGCCCCCAGCTCATAGCCCAGTGAAGGCACCGGCTCTTGCTCATGTCCCGGTCAAGGCACCAGCTCCCATCCTCCCCATCAAGTCACCAGTGCTTCCTCCTTCTCCAGTGCAGGCACCGCCAACAAATTTCCTTCCAAAGACAAAACAAGGTAGCCATATATATGTTCCCCTATACACAAAAATAAAACATTTTGAAAAAACAATTAATTTCACAAGCCAATTCCTTCTTTTTCATTTTTGTAATTGTGTGACAATGTGTTTTGATAATTTTTTATGTGCAGAATGTGTCCCCTTATGTGAAGAGAGGTGCAAATTACACTCGAGGAAGAGAGTATGTGTGAGAGTATGCATGACATGCTGTGATCGATGCAGATGTGTGCCACCAGGGACAAATGGTAACCGAGAGAAGTGTGGCAAGTGTTACACCGATATGACCACCCACGGTGGCAAGTCAAAGTGTCCATGAAGCACTCGTTAATGAATTGTAATAAAATTGAGAATGGAAAGAAAATAAAATATGGTTTTCCTTTAATTATTATTAGTATTTGTACGAGCACGAAATAATTCTTCTCGTATGATCCTGTTGATTAAGTTTGCGCTCCTCCAAACAATGTTGTTTTGCCACCTGAAAACACAAACGTGAGCTAACCGGCGGGTGTGTGCCGAAAACCCCTCCGATGCCTAAGTCAGCAACTAGACAATAGACAATAAGCTCTGTGTATTCTGGAGTAAGAATTGGGATACCTGTACATAGGTCTGGTCACGAGCTTTTATAGACTTGGCTTGGCCAATTCCTAGTAGGATTCCAACTCTCCCTATGAGAGTCCTCCTAGGAATCACACACCCTACTCACTACCAACCAAGTGAGATGGTTCGCACAATCCTAGTAGGACTCTAGTCTTCTTAGCAGAGTCCTCCTAGGAGTCATACTCCCACTCACTACCAACCAAGTGAGATGGTTTTGCACAATCCCAGTAGGACTCTAACTCTCCTTAGCAGAGTCCTACTAGGAGTCTCATCACTGCAAGCCAAGTGAGATGGCTAAACCCTTTATCTCGGTTATACATTCCTGACCGATCTGCTTTATCTCTGCCCCTGTCATTTGGACCGTGTGATCGAAAGCCGATCTATCGAATGCCACCCTGTCGAGCTATACATAACTCGGCCGTCACCATTGATGTTACCTCCTTTACCTCGGCTGACATCTTTACCTTGGCTCTGTGCTCAACTAAGTAATGGAATAGAAGCATCGACCGAACTATACCTTCCTCGGCCATCTGTCTTACCAAACACCTCGGCCAACCCTTGGGCCTAGTATTTTGGTAGCTCGGTCAACATCCTTGCCCAGCTTGGTACTCAGATAAAAAGGTACCGAGCTACCCGTCGTCCATACTCTGGCCCTTATCTCGGCCCAATTCCCAAAGAAGATTCTTCCTAGCTCAGCCCAATTTGTTTACAAATTACCCTCTCAATTGCCCCTTAATTCCATCTGCGTAGCATGATTGGGATTATTTTTCCTCCAGCCGAGCTAAGAACGCCTCACTCTGCCAAGCTAAAAAGTTGTTCGGTTTCATAGCTCGTTCGGCCCCAATAAGCCTTGTCAGTTGCTCAACATGTTCTTCCACTAATCTGGTACGACGTCATTCCCAAGATACTTGGCGGGCCCCCAATATCCTCGTTCTCTTGTTACCACCGTCATACCAAAAATTTGAATAGCCCTGCTTTTTTGCCTTCAACGTATATATCCTTCGAGTTTGCAATCGTATGGCCAGTCGTTCTTTCTGTGTCTCGTTGAGTAGACTAACTTGGTTTATACTAACCCTGCCAACCTACTTTGGCCGAGATAACCATCTCGGTCCAGGAATTCAAAAATTTATTGGTCAAACCTGCCAACCTGCTTTGGCCGAGGTAACCATCATCCCGGCCAAAGAGTTCAAAAATTTGTTGGTCAAACCTGCCAACTTGCTTTGGCCGAGGTAACCATCATCCCGGCCAAAGAGTTTCAAAAAATTTTGTTGGTCATACCTGCCAACATGCTTTAGCCGAGGAAACCATTATCCCGGCCAAAGAGTTCCAAAAATTTTGTTGGTCATACCTGTCAACCTGCTTTGGCCGAAGTAACCATCATCCAGGCCAAAGAGTTCAAAATTTTGTTGGTCATACCTGCCAACCTGCTTTGGCCAAGGTAACCATCATCCCGGCCAAAGAGTTCCAAAAATTATGTTGGTCATACCTGCCAACCTGCTTTGGCCGAGGTCACCATCATCCCGGCCAAAGAGTTCAAAAATTTGTTGGTCAAACCTGCCAACTTCCTGCAGCCTAGATCCTCATCTTGGCTTAGGAGAGCTAAATGTTGGTTATTCTTGTCAACCTTCTTCAGTGCAGATCCTTATCTTGGCTTGAAGAAGAGCTAAATGCTTAGCCATTCCTGCCAAACTTCTTGATTGCCCCCCAGTCGGGCAAAGACTTGTTGGTCAAACCTGCCAACTTCCTGCAGCCTAGTTCCTTATCTCGGCTTAGGAGAAGTGTTGGTTTTTCCAGCTAACCTCTTCAGCCCAGATCCTAATCCTAGTTGAAGAGAGCTCAAAGTTGGTTATTCCGGCCAACTCTGAGCGAAGTGTTTGGTTTTTCCATCCAAACGTCCTGTAGCCTAGATCCTTATCCTCGGCTTAGGAAATAAAAAAGGGTTGGTCAAACCTCCCAACCTTTTCTGTTGCCCCCCAGTCAGGCAAAGACTTATTTAGAAAGAGTTGGCCAATCCTACCAACCTTCCCAATTGCCCCCCAGTCGGGCAAAGACTTTTGCACGGTTAATCCTACTTGTCAACCGTGTTAACTCTGGCCAAAAAGCTTTTTGTCTGGTATCACTGTTGCGCCAGACTCTGCTTTGATGCGCACCCCATCTTCCTCTACCTGGATGTGTTGGTGCACTCTCCTCATTAGGGCTTCTATAGTAAGGGGCGGCATCATTGTCATTGAATCCCTCAACTTATTGGCAGCCGGCAAACCTCGTTTGTACTGTGCGATAGCTAGGTTTGTAGGGTAATCTCCCCCCAGTCAGGCAAAGACTTATTTAGAAAGAGTTGGCCAATCCTACCAACCTTCCCAATTGCCCCCAGTCGGGCAAAGACTTTTGCACGGTTAATCCTACTTGTCAACCATGTTAACTCTGGCCAAAAAGCTTTTTGTCTGGTATCACTGTTGCGCCAGACTCTGCTTTGATGCGCACCCCATCTTCCTCTACCTGGATGTGTTGGTGCACTCTCCTCATTAGGGCTTCTATAGTAAGGGGCGGCATCATTGTCATTGAATCCCTCAACTTATTGGCAGCCGGCAAACCTCGTTTGTACTGTGCGATAGCTAGGTTTGTAGGGTAATCTCCAATCTGATTAAAGGTCTCCCAATATCGGTTATTGTAAGACCTCAACGTTTATTTCTCGTCCATGTCTATGGAGAGAAGCTGGTTAATCTCCACTGGTGTCTTGGTGTTCGCTCTGAATCTGGTCACAAATGCCTCCGCTAGTTGCGCCCACGAAGTTATGCTACCTTCTGGCAACCTTTCAAACCACGTTAAACCCATGTCGCCCAGGCTAGAAGGAAACAAGATACACATCAGAGCCTCGTTTTGCCAATACACGGCCATAACCTGGCAAAAGTAGCTCAAGTGTATGTAGGGGTCCGACTTCCTCTCATAAGTAGTGAATTTGGGCTAGTGGAAGCCTGAGGGTAATGGTGCGTCCTCAATTGCCGGAACGAACGGCGAGCTCTGCAACCTTGCTAACACTTTGTCTGCTGGTTCATAGGTAAGGCGCGGCTCTAGTATTCCTACCTCGGCACTCTCATGTATTCTAGGAACCAATCGTTGTAGTGCAGAAACTCTGCGGGGGTCGCGAGCCTGAGTGTCTTCTCTCCTTCGAGCCCTTTCAGTCCTTATTCTCTCAAGCCTGGAGTAGCGTGTCCTGGAAGTCTTTGATTGTGTATCGCCCGACCTGAGGCTTTTACTTTTAGCTTGTGATAGTGTGACTTTTCTGTCACGATCTTCTGAGTGGCAAGAGTGTGTGTTGTCATTGCGTCCCTCTTTTGTTGCCACCCTTTTGCCTTTTATCTCGTGCTTCATCGTCTCTATGTCAGCCGCCATTCTTCTTATTACTTCGTCTTACTCCCTTACGCGATCTTCGAGAACCTGAGGATCCATCTTTCGCCTCTGTCTATCAGGGCTTTCAGAGTGGTGTGGACTTGAGCCCTGTCTTTCTCTTGCTTCTCTCCGCAGATTCCTTCGCTGGGGATCTAATTTCGCCATGGGTGGGATAGAAGGTAACCTTCGCTCCTTCCACTCCCTTCCGGTGTTTGCCCATCAATAGCAGATTGCGGTAAGTCTTCATTGTGCGCCATTGCTTCCAACTAGAGAGGAAAACTTGATTAAGAGGTTTTGCTCTTTGTGATGGAACTGCCTCCATTGCTTCCAACTAGAGAGGAAAACTTGATCAAGAAAATATATCTCCACAACTGCCCCCTAAGTTCTATTACCTCGGCATGGTAATGGAACCTATACTTGAACTTCCTGCCAATACTCCGGTTTAGAGTCTCTCAGCTGAGATCATCATATAGGCCGACATGTCCTTTTAAGGTTTAAAGTTTTCAAGATCTCCTTCACGCGGATGAGCTGTCATGCAAAACGCGTCTTCCTTTTACGAGATCGTACTCCGTACGCGCTCGCAAGTCGTTTCGTGCCTACATGCGCCGTCTGATGCATTCGTTGTTCCAGATGCATTAATTGCCCTTTTTGCCGCTGTTTCAAGTTTTGACAAAAACTCGTATCCTCTCTTTTCGTCTCTTTACTTTTCACTTCTGAAGTTTTTTTTCTCTTTCTAACTTTCCCTTCAAGATCCTCCATTGCTCAAGCTTCCAAAGCTCTGCAACTTGCTCCGTCCATTTCCTCCGGCGAGGTTCTTGTCAATCTGTTCCGCTGCCGCCGTTCTTCTGACTTCGGCGATCTCAACATCGACTTCTTTTCTCTGGTAAGTCACCATTCCTCCTAGTTTTAGTTCGTGTTGTGCTTCAAGAAATTTTTGCTTTATCATTAGTCGCCATTGCTGTTTTACTCAAATATTTGATTCATGAATCATGCCTCTGAGTGTATTTATTTCACGATTTTGCTCTTTTCCCATGTCTTGAATACTTGCACTGCTCACAACTTTTCTGCTTTCGCCATTGTTCTGGTCCTTGTACCCTTTCACACACTTTGTCACACAGTGTTCTTGGTAATTCACCCTTGTTCTTGATTCTAAAACACGTTCTTGTTTTCTGTTTTCCAGATTTCGCGTCTTCAATCTTCGCTTCCATAGATCTAGGTTTAGGATTTGTTTGTAGAACTCACAAATTTTAGGAAAAACTGAAATAATTCCCATAAATTCTTTACCTAGCAAATTTTTAGGTTTTTGCCGAGGTCCATAAAACCCTTTAGAAACACAACCTTCTGAAATCCAACCCCTTCAGTTAAGCCGATATCATGGGTATGTGGAAATATAGGGTAGACACCCCGA